CACCCAGGGACGGCCGCCTGTCCTTTTCCTGCCGCGATCCCGCGATCCCGGGGCCGCCCCGGCCCCGCCCGGTGCCGTTTTACCGCGGGGCCGGCGGGGGCCCCCGGAACGGTCGGGCCCGGGGCGCGCGTTCCCCGCCGGAGCGCTGGGGCGGCGCGCGCCGGACCCCTTTTGGGGGCGCACCGCGCGCAGAGGTTGCGTGAAGGGCTGCGGGAAATGGCGGCGGCGGCGGCGCTGGGCCGTGAGCGGGGACGGGGCGACACGGGGCGGGAGCGGGGCGGGAACGGGCACCGCGACAGCCGCCGGGGCACGCGGACAGGGACCGGGACCCGCCCTCCGCGCGGGGACTGAGCCCACACGGACCCCTGAGGGGGCTCCGCCGCGGCCCCGGCCGGGCTGAGCTCTCCCGTCCTCTCTTGCAGGTCTGCGGCTGCCCGGGCACGGCGCGCTGGGCTGGCGGTGAGCGCCGGGAACGGCGGGGAGGGGGTGCGGGGGGTCCGGGAGGTGGGAGCCCAGCCCTTGATGGGGCCGCCAGCCCGCGTCTGAGCGGCTCCCCCGTGCCGGAGGGCCCCGGGGTGGGGGGTCAGCGGGGGTCTCCTCCCCGGCTGCCCCGTGCCCGGGGCTGTTCTGCCCCCCGGGAGGGGCGCGGGGGGAGCTGTGTCACCCGGTGTCACCCCCGGGTGTTTCTGTCCCCAGGCCCGGCGCTGTGGCTCCTGTTCAGGCTCAGCTGCTCCACCAGACGCCGGCGGCCGATCGTGCAGACAGGTGAGGCAGCTCCTCCCCCGTGGGGTCGGTCTGTCCCTGTCTCTGCCAGGCGTCCCCTCAGTCCCCCGCTGGAATCCAGGGGGAGCTGGAACTGGGTGAGCCCTGGGGACCGGCAGCCAGGGACCCACTGTGATCTGGGTATGACAGAGGGGCTCTGCCTGAGCACCAGACCCCACCCTGGGGGAGACCCCTCTGCCCCAAACCCAGCCCCAGAGAGTGTGGGATTGTCCATCCTTGTCCAGCATACCAAGGATTGCTCAGGGAATCAGGGCTCCCCAGGGCAGTGGCTGATTGTGCAGGGAGGTGATGAGGAGCTCACACCCTGTGCTGTTCCCTGCAGCGCTGTGCAGGTCCAGAAGAGCTCTGCTGTGGTCCAGAAGAAGTCCTTTGTCCCCAGCAGCCGGGGCGAGTATGTTGTCACCAAGCTCGATGACCTGGTCAACTGGGCCCGGCGGGTGAGTCCAGACTCCTGGGATCCAGGGAAACACTGGAGTCCCCTCCTGCTCGGGATAAAAATAGGCTCAGAGCTCCCATGGCAGAGTTACACGGACAGAGGGTGACATTTGGGTCCGGTGACAGAGCGGGACAGAGGCTGGAGGGGCAGGGATGTGGAGCCAGGGGGGAACACGGAGCAGTTGGGGGGGTGGAGCAGGGAGGTGGGCTGGAACTGCCCTGTGGTCACCAGCAAAAGGCACTTTGTGGAGTTTACCCAGCCCCTGCCCCGAGCAGCTGCTCTGCCTGGGGTGAAGGTGACACGAGTGACACTGCCCTGGGTCCACTGTGCTCTGCCTTAGCTGGGCTGGCCCTTCTCTGGCCACCACTGCCTGTGTGGGGCTCGGGGCTGTCCCTGGGGGGCTCTGACCTGTCCAGGGGGGCTCTGAGGTGGCTTGGGCAGCGTGGGAGGTGCAGGGGAGCAGCTCAGGCTGCACCCACAGCTCTCCCTGTGTCCATTGCCCCAGGGCCGTGGGTTTTGCTCTCCCACACTTTGAACTTCTCCTGTTCCATTTCCCTTCTGTCTGACGGACTCTGTGAAGTCAGACAATGCCCAGGCACCCCCAAAANCCCCCGGGTGTTTCTGTCCCCAGGCCCGGCGCTGTGGCTCCTGTTCAGGCTCAGCTGCTCCACCAGACGCCGGCGGCCGATCGTGCAGACAGGTGAGGCAGCTCCTCCCCCGTGGGGTCGGTCTGTCCCTGTCTCTGCCAGGCGTCCCCTCAGTCCCCCGCTGGAATCCAGGGGGAGCTGGAACTGGGTGAGCCCTGGGGACCGGCAGCCAGGGACCCACTGTGATCTGGGTATGACAGAGGGGCTCTGCCTGAGCACCAGACCCCACCCTGGGGGAGACCCCTCTGCCCCAAACCCAGCCCCAGAGAGTGTGGGATTGTCCATCCTTGTCCAGCATACCAAGGATTGCTCAGGGAATCAGGGCTCCCCAGGGCAGTGGCTGATTGTGCAGGGAGGTGATGAGGAGCTCACACCCTGTGCTGTTCCCTGCAGCGCTGTGCAGGTCCAGAAGAGCTCTGCTGTGGTCCAGAAGAAGTCCTTTGTCCCCAGCAGCCGGGGCGAGTATGTTGTCACCAAGCTCGATGACCTGGTCAACTGGGCCCGGCGGGTGAGTCCAGACTCCTGGGATCCAGGGAAACACTGGAGTCCCCTCCTGCTCGGGATAAAAATAGGCTCAGAGCTCCCATGGCAGAGTTACACGGACAGAGGGTGACATTTGGGTCCGGTGACAGAGCGGGACAGAGGCTGGAGGGGCAGGGATGTGGAGCCAGGGGGGAACACGGAGCAGTTGGGGGGGTGGAGCAGGGAGGTGGGCTGGAACTGCCCTGTGGTCACCAGCAAAAGGCACTTTGTGGAGTTTACCCAGCCCCTGCCCCGAGCAGCTGCTCTGCCTGGGGTGAAGGTGACACGAGTGACACTGCCCTGGGTCCACTGTGCTCTGCCTTAGCTGGGCTGGCCCTTCTCTGGCCACCACTGCCTGTGTGGGGCTCGGGGCTGTCCCTGGGGGGCTCTGACCTGTCCAGGGGGGCTCTGAGGTGGCTTGGGCAGCGTGGGAGGTGCAGGGGAGCAGCTCAGGCTGCACCCACAGCTCTCCCTGTGTCCATTGCCCCAGGGCCGTGGGTTTTGCTCTCCCACACTTTGAACTTCTCCTGTTCCATTTCCCTTCTGTCTGACGGACTCTGTGAAGTCAGACAATGCCCAGGCACCCCCAAAACGCCAGGCAGTGGAAGGATGGGACAAAAATTTATTTCCAAAGTGGAGAACACAGGACTCAAAGAACATCAACCATTTCAAACACCAGGCCTGGGGAAAGAGCCACCCCCTGTTCCCCTCAGGGCTGTTATCATCCCTGGCCCCCCTCTGTGGGGGCCCTCACACGTGTCTGCAAGGACTTGCCTTCTTCTCATACCAGGGAGAGTTTCCCTGGGACACAGGAGGGGGAAACACCTAAAACTGTGTCTGGGAAAGATTCCTCTTCCCGGCGGGAAAACCCTCCTGCGCGAAACGAGCCCTGGTGTCCCCGCAGTGAATCCCCCGGAGGGGTCTTCACCCTCACAGACCCTTCCCCCACGAGTCACCTGCCCCTGTCCCCGTGTCCCCACAGAGCTCCCTGTGGCCCATGACCTTCGGGCTGGCCTGCTGTGCCGTGGAGATGATGCACATGGCAGCCCCCCGCTACGACATGGACCGCTTCGGGGTCGTGTTCCGCGCCAGCCCCCGCCAGGCCGACGTCATGATCGTGGCAGGGACCCTCACCAACAAAATGGCCCCGGCCCTGCGCAAGGTACCGGCACCGGGGGGGCTTTGGGGCCGGCGGGGGGGCCTGGGGGTGATCCCAAATATCCCTGTTCCGCAGGTCTACGACCAGATGCCCGAGCCTCGCTACGTGGTGTCCATGGGGAGGTGGGTGCCAGGACCCCCTGTGAGGGGAGTCTGCGTGTGCAGGGAGAGGGAGGGAGGGGGATTCTTTGCTCACTTGTTACTCCAAGCCCTTAAGTTCTCTAAAGAGGCCCTGCAGAGTGGGACAGTAAAGCTGCCTCTGACTGGGAATGATGTGTGTGAGTCACTGGGAGCTGCACAGTCCCCCCAGGGGCAGGTCCAGGGGGTTGCAGCTGCCAGAGTCCAGGAGCTTGTGTATGTCCAGAATCCTGGAATTTGCAATTGGGCTCAAAACGTACCAGCCGGGGCTCCTGAAGGGCTGAAGGACCATGGTGTCACTGCCCTGTCCCTCCCTGGAGCTCAGCCAGTGCCCACCTGCTGAGGTCACCTTCCCTTGACCTCCTGTCCCCCTTCTGGGGGGGTCTGACCCTGCCCCTCTCCTGCAGCTGTGCCAATGGTGGAGGGTACTACCACTACTCCTACTCTGTGGTGAGGGGCTGCGACCGCATCGTGCCCGTGGACATCTACGTGCCAGGTAGGGGGGGAGTGAGGGAGTTCTGGGCATTCCCACAGAGCTGGGGGGAGGTTTCAGAGGCTTTTCCTGTTTCAAACTGTGCTGGTGAAGCTGCAGCAGCTTCAGGGAGCTCTGCCGAGGTTGCAGCGAGGGCTGAGCTGGTGGTGTCGCTGTCAGGGCTGTGGGAGGTGCGAGCTGTGGTTGAGACACACTTTGCCTGGAATCAAAGCATTGCTTTGATAAAGACCTCCTTTGAAAAACACCAGCAACTTAGTGTCTTTAACCACGTGCCTGTACGAGCAGCCTGTGCCAGCCACAAAGCCAGGAGGAAGTCACAGCTTTGGGATAAAGCCCAGGGTTGTCACCTCT